TAAGTGGTACCCCTCCACAGCTTCTGCATTAGCTCCTGCTTCCAGGTTCCTGTCCTGTTTGAGTTCCTGTTCTGACTTCCTTTGATGATGAACAGTGGTATGGAAGTGTAAGCTGAATAAACCCTTTCCTTTCCAAGTTGCTTTGGTCATGGTGTTTCATCTCAGCAATAGTAACCCTGTCTAGGATATCCTACTATGGATTACTCTTTTCCTCTGTACAAAATGGATCAATTTCCTCTCTAAATTTTACTACTATTCTGGGGTGCTGTGCATCTGTCTTTAGTGACAACTGCCTTACCATTGGTGGCTGAGGTGCTTGGCCTCCTTCTGGACATGAATGTGTGCAATTTATTCAGCACACTCACTTTTGTGCACACACCCCTGCTAATCTGAAACTGTGTGGATTCCTTCCTGTTCTCTGTCCCATTACTGACCCCCCATTGTGTGTCTGTCTCTGTTGGATAACTCACTCTGGGTCCTTCAAATCATGAAGATCATACACTACATGCGATTTTTACATCTGGCATGTTTCACCTAGCATGGTGTTTGTCAGGTTCTTCTATAGCATAGAATCTATACAGATTTGAACTTTACCCTCAAAAATCTAATCTCCAAAACAGATGCTGATGACAGTGTCTTTCCCTCCACAATGACCTCACAACAGACCAAATCAATACTGGACCTAGATTGGACTTAGGACCTAAAACGTCAAACTGGGTTCATGGCTGCCTTTATCTAGTGAGAATGGGACACTAGTCCAGTCCCAAGACTTGCCATCCCCCCACAAATGTTCACTGCAGATGAAGAGATCAAGTAGGGTATCAGAGGGCAAAAGTTATACAGTAACATTACCTAGCATGATGTGTTTACTGTGTCTGCAAGAGATAAGAGTTCAAGTTTGCATGGATTAAGAGATTGAGAGTTTGTTGAGAGTGCAGAGTTTGCTTTCTTATGGCCTGAGGTAAGCTAGCTCTTTTTTGGAGAATGCAAACTAGAAACATGGTGTCCACAATTGATCCTGCTGTCACTTGTGGTACCCCTTCCCCCTAATTCATACCAGGGAGTAAGTCAGCAGAGGAAAACATTCCCTGGCCTGCCATCACTGAAGAAGGCCAATTTAAATGGCAATGTGCTTAACCCGCTGACCCTTCCACATGCACTACGAGGTAGGTGTGGTTGGTCAGCAACCTCACTTTCTAGAGAGGAAAACTGAGACCGGGAAGACTGAAGGAACTGTCCCTCCACCACTGTGTCACACTGCTGGTCCATGCTGGAGAACGACACCAACACTGGCCATCAGACGCCACAGTAAGCACTCTGTCTCCATGGCCATCTGCATAGATGCCCCGCGTGGCAGTGCCTCCAGCAGCCAAGATCTGTGTTCTTGTCTCTTACCTCCATCCATTTCAACTGCAACCAAGCCATCTCTTACGATAAAGGAGATTGCCTTTTGACCTGCCAACCTTCTCCTGTCCTGCACCTGATCTAGTCTTGATCACCCCGAGATTCTTTCCTCCTCCAGGCAAATCTCCTCCTGCACCATCTTACACAGAAGCCACTGGATTCTGAGAGTGTGAGATGTGGTCACTCATGACTGATATTTGATGTGACATCAATAGAAATTGCTAGCTTTGGAAGAACCTGTATCAAAACAGAAAACAACACATTTCATTAACACATTTACCATCACTCCTAACTAAAAATCACAGTACTACAGTTTGGATATAGTTTGAACTCCAGTTCATGAGTCAGAACTGAACTCCAGTATGGTGGTGTTCAGAGGTGGTAGAAACTTCAGGGAAGAAGCATAATGGGAAGTAGATATTGGCTCCCATCCTGTGCTCTAGATTCCTGCCCTGCCTATGATCTATACCTCTTTTTTCATTTTTCTTTATTAAGAAATTTTCTACTCACACTACATACCACCCACAGATCCCACCTCCTCCCTCCTCCCACCCCCCCAGCCCTCTCTTCCAAGCCACACCGCACCCCCACATCTCCCAAATCAAGGTCTCCCATGGGGAGTCAGCAGAGCCCGGCATGTAGCTAGAGTTTTCCTGCCTTGCCCACAGTCAGGACAAATCTCTGTCACCCGCCAGTCCCACAGCCGCTCAGACTCAACCAAGTAAACACAGAGACTTATATTGCTTCAAACTGTATGGCCGTGGCAGGCTTCTTGCTAACTGTTCTTATATCTTAAATTAATCCATTTCCATAAATCTATACCTTGCCATG